TTATGTTTATGGTTTGTGAATTTGTGCAAACATGAGAGTTGTAGATGTTGTGGTATATGAAATTCTTATTTGAATAAAAGATTGTGGTAGACACTCTGTCTGGTCTTAAAATTGAATGAAGCATGAAATCAGAGCTGGTTAAAGTTACTGATATGCCGAAATTGTCAGTAGTTTTGAATTTCCTCATTAATAATGGCTCAATTTAGTAAAAAGTAAGCTAAAAATACTGGTAATTGAATAACATTGCCAATTTGACCTCACATGACTTCGTATAATTGTTAATTTCTTAGATCATATGAGGGGGTGGGGAAATCTGCCCCCTTAAAGTGTGAACAAGGTAGGCTCAGGTCGTAGTGAACGATCCAGGCATGTCGCAAGATGAATATTTTGAACAAGTTATAGGACTTTGGAAACAGTCTATTTTGTATTTTTGCAAGTAAAACCTTTCCACATACGTTCTTTCGGTAGATAACAGGGAGAGAAAATGACCAAATTTTTCATCTTTTTCGTGGCAGACATTTCTTTTTTTCATTCTCACTGCGCATGTGCAAGAATTGAACTCTGGGAAATAAATGTAAAAAAATTGCGGAAAAGATGTTTAGCGAGGTATTTTGTTAATTTTAGTCACCTTTTATCCTAATTGTATAGATATAGTATATATTTATTTGTTCCTCAATCAATTATCTACAAATTGATTATAATCTTTTAGGAGAGACTCGCCATCGAGTCATTATGGTGATTTATGTAATTACAAATTTCAATATTTTTTTTCACAGTCCTCACAATCCCCGGGGATTCATTTTTGCTCATAATCAATGATTCTATCAACAATTATGACATACAATGGTCATATTGATTCTTTATAATGTATGTTTTTGGTGATTTACTAAGTATATGGCTTTATTTATTAAATTTTTAATACTCAATTTCTAGATAGATTCTAGCCAATACATCTATCTATTGTATTGTAGATCTGTAAGGAAAATCACACGAGTCCTCACTGTCGTTCTGTCTCTATTTCAGACTGAAGTAGCTACCAGAAGTAAAAGAAAAAAGAAAACAATCTCAGAAAATTAGGGAAAAGGGACTGGAAGTAGATGACGAGTCATCCGCATCTGATGCAAGACCAGGGGCATCAAAAAAGTGACGAAAAGAAGAACCTCAGGAGGGGTGGTAAACCAGGAAAGAAGGCGACGGAAGTAGTGACACGTCTCATCCAATCAAAAGAGGAAAAAACAAAGGTATGTGTAAAAATGCCTTTGCAACATATTGAAAGTGTCAATTGTCACTCATTATTTCTACTTTCTAGTTATTCCAAATTTCCATGCTCATGACCCTTAGTTTCTGACTTTGAGATGATATGTTTTAAGAAACAGTAAAAGGTCAGTGAGGCTAATTAGCTTTTGGCATCAAATTTCTAGTTGATTTTAAAATTTGTCATTTTACAATACATTTAGTCAAAGAAAGCACATACCTACATGTAAGTGATAAAATAAAACAATCCATGCATGGTATACTATATATTATTATCATGTTATACGATATCCTTTTTTATTTTACTTATTGAAGCAAAACCCACAAGAGAAATTCAATCTCTGAAGAACTTCACTAGAGGAGAATGATTTATTACATTTATCCCTACATACTGTATACAGTATTTTGAGAATTTTGTATTTTAAAATGTTTTTTTCTTATTTTTCAGCAAGACATATCAAAAATGTCTTTAGCAGAGTGTCAGAGCCTCTTGCTGAAGATTTAGAGAGAGTTCCCGGCATTCTGTTCAACATTCTCGAGGCAATCCCCAAGAAGACCCACATCCAAAACCTGGTCCTGATTTACCACTACCATGGTGTCGTTGCACCAACTGTCATCCTAAAGTCTCGTTTGGGCAATCGGTGATGACAACGTCTACCCAATGTTTGCACGCGAAATTGACATAATTCTATGGCTGGCCAAGTGGTACAAAGTTACGTCGTAAATGTACGACCGCAAGAACGTAAAAGGTCGTTAACTTATGTCCTTAAGGTCGTTATGATCGGTTCCAAGAACGTAAATTAACGACCTCATAGTCAAGATTGTCAAAACTGAAAACCCATTAATGAATGCTCCTACAAAAAGTTAAAATGGCAGTGCGATCTGAAAATTCGGAAACTCTGCAGTTTCTTAACAGAATCCAACGAAATGTGCTAGATATGACCAGACAAATGAAGGTTAAACCTGTGGATCAAACTGTTTTGCATTCGATTATTAGAAGGTGGGATATGATTACTACATATCTAACTGAAACTTAACTAGTGCGAACCTCCACCTCCTGGCCAAAATTCTTTCAAAATTAAAAAAATCAAATGAGAACCCCCCTAGAATTTTTTAAAAATCAAACCCCCTTGTCAAAAGCTGGTTACGGCCTAAAGAGTATGTATTTTTTTAATTGATATTTTGGGTATTATTATAGTGAGGAAGCACATAGGGCAACATTGAAAAACACATAAATCGTGATTTTGCTCAGAAATTTTCAGGATCCCGATTCTCAAATTTTTGATCAATTAATCATTTTCTAGGCTCATTTGAGTTCTTGTTGATTACCTTAGTCACTCGTTACACCACTATATATTTTATCATAATATTACATGGTACTGCAGATTATACAAACATCCCCATGCAAAAGGAGATATTAACTGTATAAAGTGGATTATTCTCTATAGTTTGATATATATATTGACTATGGCGACCTCAGCAGACTTTATTCCTTGTCCAGAGAAAAAATTGGGAAAATTTTATATCTTACTTCGAAATATATTTTGATGCCATCGCTGGAGATACGACTGATTCAAGGAAAATTGGATTACTCCTTATGACTGCACGGAGTGCGGCAATTCAAAGGTATAATCATTTCAAATGGATTATGGATGCAGATGGCAACCCCATTGCAGGTAAGTATAATGATGTCGTTCAGAAATTTAAAGACTACTCCATGAACAAATGAAACTTATGAAAGATGTGTTTTCCATATCAGAACCATGTCAAATGATGAAACTTTAAGGGAATATTTGGCAGATCTTAGGCTCAAAATAGTGAGACATGTAATTATTGTGAACTGTCAGACATGGTACTGTACCATAACATATGCATGAATTTAAAAACTCTGATGCCCACAAATATCCGTATATTTTTATAATATGTACATATGACGGCGAATGTTTAAATTTTTATTTAAGGATTTAAGTCTTGGACTCAATGCACAACAACCCTCTAGTTGTAGAAGCACAGTTTGAGGTGCAACCAGAGCCTATGGCTATACCATGTGAATGATTTCTGATACGATGACTGTTCACTGTTATGAATATGGTTAACTAGACTGTTCACTGTTATGGTGACTAAAGTATTGACTGCTTACTGTTATGGAATGACTGTTAACTGTTATGACCGTTCACTGTAAAGAAGACTGTTGACTGTTATAATTGTCTACTGCTATGATGCCTTTGACTCTGAAAGTGTGAAATATAAATTCTGAGTAGAGCATGGCAGTGACCAAAGGCCTTCTGGGGCCCATCGCTGACTGGTATATGTTCTGTACATGTCCCCAGGATGCCATGGTTTTTGGCTGCTGTAACCATGTAGCACCAGTCACCTGATTAATGGGATGGTTGTAAAAGAGGAGCCATCCCAAGAATCATATATATGATGCTAGAGACATGTCCACCTCCTCTTCATAGTCAGAAAAGGGAGATGACAGATGCTTGTGGGAACTTTCAATAACAGTAGTAATTCAATAAATATCAACAAATCCTACTCAAATGTTACTAAATTCGTATCAACCATTTTTGGCAATGCAGTGAGGTAAAGGAGTCTGTATAAACTATCTGACAGTATTAATATACTTGAAACTTGACCTTGGTTTGATTTCATATGCAATTTATACAAACTTTTTTTAAACATTGAGTAAAAAAGATGCTCATACTGATATAGTATCAATATATCATTGTACATCATGGTAAAAAGAATAAACAAAAACATTATGCTTTGAAAATGATTTTTTAACATAATAATGAGGTTACCTAATTTGATTCACAGTAGAAGGTTAATTGAGCATCAATAATCACTAAAAGATGCATATTATTATCAAATACATCTTTGACAGGTAATAAATTCTATATTTCAAATACATTTAAGCAAATGACCAAAAGGGTATATTCCCGGACTCATCCTTTTGATGCAGTAAAAGCTGGTTAAGTCCATTACAAATGTTTGAGAGTTGAGTAATGAAACTTCGACCGATCTGTCAAATGGTGTATCACAATAAGTACCACTTATTAAGGTTATTAAGAAGAAAATATGTAGCTTGCCTAATATGCTTCCTATTCAGTCCATCAGATTAAGACGATCTAAGGGTTCCTAAGTGAGCGCTCTTTGATCTTGTCTCAACATACACTTGCTGTCAAAGTTTGTTTATTCGCAACAATTTATTACCCCAGTGTCAGGTTGTTGGATTGAAATTTGATTCCATCACAGGGAAAGTTCATATGCTGACTGGAAGAAATACATGTGTGTATATGTACTCTCAGTCCATTTCAACAAAAGTAGCCTATTTATCAAAATGAGAATATTAAATGCAAATTAGAGTTATAACTATGAGAAATAAGAAATAGTTAGTGGATCCCACAATGACCCTATAATAAATTATTAGAAAGTGTCTTGTGAATTATGGATTAGAATGATGGATATAGAAGCCATTTACTGAATATAACGTATGTAAGCTGTGCAATGATGCTGCTGAAGTGAAATGGTAAGTCCCATCACATATTATATAACAATTTATTATATACAAGTGTGTGTTTATATTATCAATGTGTGTTTTTTCATATAACAGAGTAGCTTTAACCAGTAAAATAAAAATCGAACCCCGCTTTGCCAGTCAAAAAATATTATAAGGGATGTACCAAATGTTAATCTGGCACAATATTACTTGCTATTTCTTCAAGACCTTATGCCATTTTTTTTGTTTTTTATGTTACATCATACAAAAAAGTCACAACGTTGCTAGGGAATATATCGATTAATCTTATATTAAACAGAATTATACAACCCTCAGTTTATTAAGCCACTAATATAATTTCATGTTGTCTAAATGGTACATCCCATGTTAAGTCAACTAACTTTAACCTAAAGGGGTTGAATAATATTATACTGATTTTAGGCTGGGTTATGGAGAGTCTTAAAACACTGAGCCAATGCACTATAAACAACAAAAAATGGGTGTCACAAGTTTTTTACAGTTTCTAAGACAGCATTCAATATACACAGATAAATTATCAAAATTCAAACGATTCAACATACTGAGGGAATTTAAAAGCTTTGGACAAAGTTTTTTAAATGATGCTACAGAAACTAGAGATGAAATCTATGTATCATTAGCAGGAATTGTGCGTTATATTTTCAAACATCTTGATGATATATATAATTGTGAAAGAATTGTCAATGACATTGTATCATTCGTTTTTACTGTGGAACAATCAGACAAACACTCCATTTTACACCTTTATAAAGAAATTGTAAAATCTGACTTCGGATTCTTCCCAACTGAAATTTACAGTGATAATGATATCATCACACATGAAAGTGACTCACTTTTTAAAGAGTATTCATCAAATTTTTCCAAGGACCAGTGGTTTAAAATTTGTTTATTTGAATACCATTTTTCCAAGACTCATGACACCACATTATCATTTGAAATATTGCTAAAGCAAAGATGGGACTACTTTGCTTATATCTTAATCTGTGTTAATATTGCGGGCCAGTCAGTCAAAAATGCCAAAAGCACAATAAAAGCACGACAAGAATGCATTCAAGCAAAGGAACAATTAGGAAAATGTTTATTTGATTGCAATGGTCAAAAACATATTTCAGAAAATATTGAAGCTGATTTGTTACAGTATTTAGAGTTGCTTATTCATGAGCACATTATCCTGGTTGGAGCAGCCCATTCGCCATTGTCAATTCAATCCCCTTCACAAAAGATTGACATATTTGTTGTCATCAAAAATGGCTCACAATTTGAATTCAATGACATTACCCAGAGCATTTCTCACAGAATTGCAGCCCGGCACAATATTAATTGTGGTAACATTGTTTCTCGAGAAAGATAAAGTTGAGCAATGGTACATTGTAGATGAGCAATATTTGTCAAGATACCAACTCCAGGATGCTTGGTATTCAAAAGTGAAGAAGGGGGTATTCAGCAAACACTGTACTGAAAATTTAGCTGATGAAGATGGCGATGTATGCAAAACATGCTTTAAAGAAGATGAACCAGAGGAGCTGAGTAGCAAGTCATTTGATGTAAAGAAGGAGTGGTGTTTTGGTACACCACTTGATGTGCAACTGTTATTCAATGAATTCCTCAATAAGGAAAGCTTGAGGAGAGCACCTAACAGGGAGATAATGTGTCATGGTAAGCTTGAGAGGCTTTACGCAACATATGACACACTGCTGAATATCTTCAACAAGAAGTATATGGGTCTACTCCAACAAGAAGTCAGTGATGATCTACTAATGAACTATAGTAGCTTGCCATCAGTATCTTATGCCACAAGTAGACTTGGGCTAACTTACTCTTTTGACAAAGCAGAGAAATCTAATCTTACTAGTAAGTGTAATACACATACCAGTATACACAGGCCAAATTAGAGGCAAGCAGTGAGCTAGCAGAGATACATGTATCTAGTTTCATTACAGCAGAGTTTCAAACTGTCCATAATTCACAAGTAAAGGCTTGGTGACAGATCGTAACTTAATATCTAAACATAGCTAAAGTTAATGGGGTTTTCAGAGGAGAGTTCGGGGTTACCTGACTGACTGTATTCAAAGATTTTACCTCAATTTAGAAGCTAGTTGCCTATGTTTTCAGATAAAGTTTAAACCATTCTTAACTCCTTCAAGACTATCTGTTTTCCTAAAGGCAGAGTATCAGGACATGCAGAAGGAGTATAATGTTCCCAAACAAGAAAAAAAATATGTACAGCCCCTGGTAGACAGGGGAAATTTAACTATGTAATCATCAATGAAATAATATACTCTCTATCCATAATGTGATTATGTCACACATTTACCTCTTCCGTGCAATAGAGCAACTATAAACAAACAAATAATTGTAACGTCACACATCATATTAAAGTTAGTCAGTTTTCTCCACAACATATCAACCTTTGTATTTTTCTAGCCAAATTCAGGTTGGAGATTTAATAACTTTCATAACAGAGCAACCCCCCCCCCAATGTATTTATGATCTATCTGGAGGTATAGCAGCTGTTGAACCTCATGATGCAACACCAGATCATTTTTTGTCTTTTATTTGATGATAGCCTTCTACAATACATCACTGCTGAAACCAATCGATATGCCCCTCGTGATTTCAACCCCTTAGTCCCCTGAGTTGAAGGTGTGGCTGGGTATCACTCTGTTCATGGGCATACTAAGACTAGGAAATAGGTAATTGACAGTTTATTTTGATTTGGAGTGGTTGAAATTATTATAAATAGCAGGAAATATTGTAAAAGTGCATCACTTGGTCCTTATCGATTTTTCAATTTTTTTTTCCAGGCAAGAGTATTGGCGTTAATCGAAGCACCTGTTCACTACCAATGTTGGCGTATATATGTCTAGGGACCGTTTTGGTAATATCTGGAGATATCTCTACTTGGAAGATAATGACAATCCAAACATTGAAAAACTGACAAGGCCTGGAATGTCAGGAAATTCATGAATGATTTGAATGGAAATTTCAAAAAATGTTACACCCCTCGTGGGCAATTTACCATAGATGAATCAATGGTCAAATTCAAGGGACGCTTGAGCTTTCATCAGTACTTACTAGTTAAGCCCATCAAATAGGGGGGGGGGGTGAAGCTATTGTCCCTGTGTGAATCTAAGAGAGGCTACTGTTACAATGTTGACATTTACACTGGGAAAGATCAGAATGCAGATGGAAATGGTCTATCTTACCGTGTCGTTAATGACTTGACCATGCCCTTAGTGGGATCAAATGCCTTGCAATTTTTACACTTCTGTAGAATTATTCAAACAACTGTCCACCTCTCAGATCAATGCTGGGGGTACTGTGAGTGCAAACCGCAAAGGTCTTCCAACTCAGCTCTTGCCTTAAAATTTGAAACTACAAAAGCATGATTACAAGGTAGCTGAGTTCGACACAGGACAGCAGAGAGTGATGACGAGAACACATCTGCATGTGCCTGAGCAATTTTGAAGTGATCTAAAAAATTTGCCAAAACAATTGTAATTTGGTATTCAGTCATTCATTACCTCCAACTTGACCAAATGTCCAGTATCGGAGAAAGAATTACAAGATATGGCGGTCGAGTTGGGGGAAAAGATATGGGGGGGGGGGTACCTAGAAAGGCAGGAAATTATTTATACTGCCAAGGGAGGGTTATTATTGGCAAAATTCCATGGAGATGGGTGACATCAATGACGAAAAAGAAAAGACACATTAGGTCAGTTGAGCATGCTGAGAGGGGCAATATGCTCATTCAAAAACTAAACAAATATCTGAATGACAGGGGAAAACAAAAACCATTGGAGATAAGCAGTATAATATACTGGAATTCAAAGGGTTTGGTCCACAATTTTCGGGAGCTCCTAGAGGACGGGTGTCATTTTAACAATAATGGGTTGAAGAAATGGAAGAATGCCGTTACATCGGTAATTCCGACAGGGCTCGACAGAGCTAGTAAACATAATTTTAATATGGTCGTATTTCACAAAAGGTAGGATATAAAATAGATAATATAACTAACACAGTGGGCAATATGAGCTCCGAAAGCAAGTTTCGATAGAAGCTTTAACTTAAGGCAGCGTGAAGATTAATCAAGCAGTTATCTTACTTCATATTAGTTTACAGTTTAAAATATGAGGCAAAGCAGCAGCCCTAAAAATCCTTGCAGGTAGCTTTCCCAGGGGCAGGTCAGTTTACCCATTAGGGAAAGGTAGTTTGTCGCTAGAGGGCGAGGACATAGTTAACATAGTTTTTATCATGTATGATATGATGGCACCTAACATTCGACATATATCCTCATGGAAAGGAGCCTCGTATCAAAAAGTTTGGACCAAAGCGGAAAATTCCACATAGAGATGAATTCTTGGTACTGTGCATGAAACTTGGACTTATAAATGTGCACATTGCTCATTTGTTTTGTGTATCAGTTTCCACAATCAGCAGAATAATTCAAACTTGGGCAAGGTTTGTCAAAGGCCAAGTTGAGTGGCTGGTCTTTCAGCCAACAAATGCACTGATAAAGGAGAATCTCCCAGATTGATTTCAGCATACTGACTATCAAGACGTTATACCAGACTGTACTGAAGTGTTCATCGAAAAGCCAAAAACATTTGAAGCACAGAGCTCAACCTGGAGTGATTATAAACACCACCACACTGCCAAATCTCTACTTTCAATAACTCCCTCAGGTCAATTTAACTACGTCTCAAAATCCTGGAGAGGGAGAGCGTCTGACAAACATATCTCCCAACACAGTGAATATTATGATACATGCCTGAGACATGGCAAGGGAAAGAAAGTGTTGGCAGATAGGGGCTTCTCAAGCACAGTGCTCAATACTATTGAAACCTGTGATAAAGACACAAATCTGGGTTGACGGTTACAAGTTAATTGAGAATCTTGCCAATTGCATGGAGAAGTATGCAAAACATTTAAAAAACACTAAAATTGAAACTATGAACAATCAAAGTAAATTGCACCCTGTAAGGCAAATAGCCAATGATGCCACCATTGAGCATCGTCAAAGTGTATATGGAACAACTCCAAAGTTGTTTCAAACTTTAGAAAAGGAGATACTCAAAGCCGGAATCGGTAACCCGGTTATGTATAATGAATGGCATGTTTGAATCATCTAAAGATAGGTAGAAATTTTTCAATACCTTGCAAATATCTGTTCCAATTGATATCATTAGATTTTGTCCTGGGGGTTCTATTATCACAAATTTTGCAATTGTTATGGTTCAAAAAGACCGTACACTTGAGCAAAAGATACTTAGTGGTGCAAGATTGATGACCCAACTTCGTGGACAATTCCTAGAATACCATACGAGAGCAATGAAAAGTATGTTTAGACAGTGACTTAACAACTTGATTTGTGTCCAGCCTGCTGTGGCAGATCTGATTTTTAAGGAGTTAGCTATGGACGCAGCTGCTGCTAATAACCCTGTAGTTCAAAAGAGAATGAGAATGATTTTCCTTGGCGAGGAAGGCCTTGTGAAGGATCTCAGACATTTGAATCCTTGTTGTCCTTCAGATACCTAGGACACATTCTGGGTTCATTTGAGCTGGTGGAAGAGATGACAGCAGTTGATGATAGAAGACACACTACAACTTGTCATTTGTCAAAATGGATTTCCATGGGTGATTTGATCCAACAAGCAGAGCTAAGATGTCCAGCTGGCACTCCTATACCATCAAGCGCATTAGTGCGCTTGCAGTTTACACCAAGAAATCCATATACACATCAAGCTACGACATTCACCAAAAAGTTGCCAATTCAGTATAAGATCCAAAGGAGGCAGCTGAGAGCTTCCCACGAGGATGCTCATTTCTGTGCTGCACAGTTCAAGTACATGAGAGAAAAGTCTATTGAAATGACTAAAAACGGAATTTGTGTTGATTTCCACTCTGCTGACGACAAGGCAAAAATTCCTGTCGGTGACCCTGACCTCTGTATCTCTACTGGAGTACGTGGTAAAAAAACAATTTCACACATTGACAAACAGCATGAAGCAGCAGATCATGATATGAGTAAAAATAGTATAACTCCAAATGTACTCCTGCAAATAGATGTGCCAAATCTTTGAATGATTCTGTTTTCCAATCATCCAATCCTTTTAGACATGCTGTTATGACATGCAACCTCACAAAGAAAGACACTCAAGCTCCAGTTTATTTATTTCATGTCTTGAACACTGTGCAAATGCTACTGTAATATATTGGTATGTAGGCTATGCTATATTTCTTATTCAATTTACTTTCAGATACCTCCTAATGAGTTGGATATTATCCTGTCTGATTTCGTTAAAAGTGTTCCCAAGGATCCAAGGATCCAGTGAAAGGTGATGACGTTGGAAACCAATATGAACCTGGAACACTTACATCATACATTAATTTAATCCAGAGACATTTGAGTCGATGTGGATACCTTGCTTCTGATCTAAATGGCAATGACTTTAAGTTACTGAAAACCACTCTTGTAACGAAACGCAGAGAGCTCACGTCAATGGGTAAAGGAAATAAGCCCAACGCCACAATCCCTTTAACAAATGCAGAGATTGACCAGCTGTGGGAGTGCAATGTTCTTGGAGAAGAAAACCCATGGTCACTACAGTTTACGGTCTGGTTATTTGCCAGCATTTTGGATTCCGTGCAAGGGATGAGCACAGAAAATTACGCTGGGGAGATATTTTGCTGAAGCAGTTACAGTTAAGATGGAACTGAGTATCTAGAATTAGATAAGAGTAGAGGCTCAAAGTGCAGAGATGGTAGTGTCCCTGCTAAAGATGATAATCACAAACTGCCCCCTAGATGTTTTGCAACTGGTGATCACAGATGTCCTATCAAATTCTATAAGTCATTCAAACAGCATAGAATTCCTTCGCTCTGCTTAGAGGATACCACATTTTATCTGTCCACCCTCCCAGTCAATCGAATCAAAAATCAGTCATGCACCACTCGGCAAAGATTCATTGTCTAAGCTACTGAAGACAGGTTGCGAGAAGGCTGGAATCAATCCCGAAAAACATAGCAAAAAACTGTATGTCAAAATATGACAAAAGCGGGTCTTCCTATGGAAAAAATGACACAAATTACCAATCACAAGAATCCCAAAAGCTTCCAAGACTATCAGAATGCAATAGACCTCGAAGAATACCGCAAAATTTCAAACATAATTTCAAATCCATCCACAGTGCCCAGAGATAATGAGAACAGTACTTCAGAGACTGACCATAACGATGTACAGAATGTGCTGAAGCAGATATTTGGACCATCTTCATCGACATCTGGACAAGTATTCCAGAACTGCTTTTTCAATATTAACATTAATATGGCCTCAAGTGAGACTGTCAGTGAAACATTAGTCCTTTCTCAAGAGAGCAGCTCACCTTCCAGGAAAGTACCCAGACTGTCTCTAACGCCAAGTCCATGAGTATTATTTAAACATTCTCATAATATCAATGAGCATAAAATAACTGGATTATAAAATCTTTTTGGAGTTATATAATTTACTAATTACTATGGATTTACAAGTTATTTTATCACAGTTCCAGTTTCAATTGTACAAATCAAGTGGCAGATTTGTGAGTATTAGCTTAATATAGTATATTTTTATCATTCATTTCAGCCAATTGTTATTCTTATTTTCTGCATTTCATTAGAACAAAATCACTAAACTTATGAGGCGATCCCTCAATATTGAAATCCACAAGTTTTGGGAATACCGGGGACTATATTCTGAGACTACATAATTAACTTAAAGAATGACAAATTCATCGCTTGAACTATTGGTAAACTACTTAGATTTATAAAATTCATTTAGTTTGAAGCTTATTTATCGCAAACATCGCTCGATTCATTCGAAGACAAGTACATTCAAAACGTTTGCCATCTACGTGACGTAGCGCGCGGATGAATCTCTCGAACTCCATAATACATGTAAACAAAGTGATTCGGTCAAATTTCGATTCGAATCGTGTGAATAATCAATTTTTGTCTTTTTTCACGCATTATTCTACATAATACCTTCATGGAATGCAATGTAAATGTACTTTAGGTATGTAATTTAGGTATGTAATTATGTCCGTATCATTGAATATATGCCTTCAGTCTGTCGTCAATATAACCCTCGCAAGCTCGGGCTATATTGACGTCAGACTTCAGGCATATATTCAATGATAGGGCCTTAATGGCTAAATATAATATAACTCCACTGATTGGATCAGGCCACCTTACACATTTGTGTCAGTCATTTTCTTGTACAATAAGTTATTACATGTGAGACAACCCGTCACATGGACTTGTAATTTGGGGATGTTCATGTTCACTGTTCCGGTTGTCAAATTAGTTTTATATACTTTTATACCAGTGTTTTAGGTTCATTGTTTAATTAGTTAAATACTCATGTTTATATCACTTCAGGTGTAACTTCCGGTCCGTACTTTGCAGTAGTTAGGTTTTTATTACTTGTTAAAACCAAGTAATAAATTTGTTTCCGGACGCTTTATGTTAGCCTTTAAACATATTCCAATTTTGTGGACTGTGTTCTGTATAAATTATTTCCGCGATTTTGATTGGCTAAGGATACCTCCTGTATTCTTGGCAGATTCTACATCAGATTTTACGGAAAGACGTGCTTTACTTGCTGCGGATATTCTATCATAAGACAAAGGAAATTCATTATTTAGATCGTACATTACATTGGAGTAATGGTAGGCTTGCTTTATATCACTCTATAGTGGTCAATTTTGGTACAGTTCGTACATAAACGACTCTAAGCTTAAAGGCTTCTTGCAGACATTTTCTTAGACTTGCGTACTTTTTTTTTTATTTTTGTTGTCAACGTTTCACTTCGATTATCACTTTACAGACGCTTGTCATCTCAGTTCAAAGTATTGTGTTGCCAGTTGAGATTAATAATAGGGCTGTGTTTCCATAAACCCTAGGGTTACTTAAACAAGCATGGTTTAGACAGATCGATTTACGAGTTATACTTACTATTGAGTTTGATTTGACCTCTTATTATTGTACATTTGGTGATCAAACCTTGCTTTATTTGTATCATCGTCACATGTATTTACTGTTTACATTTGTTTATTGTACTTCGTGCATGCTACTTTCCTCATATTAACGTGTATTAACTGTCCATAACGTTGGCTATTGGAGCGATTTAAGCCCCTTTCGGCGATCCTTTTACAGGGAGTTTTTACAGTGACCTAGTTTAATACTCTGTATGTTTCCTGGTGTCCTACTGACCTGGTGACACAGGTAGTTTTACAGTGACCTAGTTCACTACTTTACATATTTTCCTGGCGATCTACTGACCTAGTGACCCAGTTACAAATTATAACTTTTCTTTCTTTTGACCCACTTACCAAAGTTAACCGAATTTCTTTATACTGTTGTATTTGACCTACTTGAAAACACGTGGTCCGTGACCCACTGACCCGTTTCATAATTTAGGGCAGACTTTTCCAGCTTTCAGCTGGGAAGCACATGTTGTACCTTACATTTACATGCATTGACATTTAGACATTGTATAGAGACATTATAATGGGTGATGAAATTAGGAGATCGAGGAAAAGGAAGAGAAAATATCCATCCAAGAAAAAGTCAAGTGAAAAAGTAAAAATTTCAAAGAAAAGTGAAGGCCACAAAATAGCTAAGGACTCTCCAAAACCTACACTTAAGAAAACCACTGAATTTGACTATGATATAGAACTATCTGGTTACAGGTTCATGGATATCATACTCCTGCAAAACTTTATGAAAGTGATCAAGTGCCCAGAATGTGGAAGTGGGGACTTTGGTCAAAAAATGATCGAGCGACGTATCGGTCAAGCTGTGTGCTTAAAATTTAAATGCTCAAAGCAAAAGTGTAGCCACTCAGTAGAACTATGGAACTCTGATAAAATTCACCCCACTGGATCGTTATATGATATAAATCGACGATTTACCTTATCCGTACTTACAACAGGTGGAAATCAGGGCAAAGCAGCCCGATTCCTTGGCAACATGAACATACCCCCACCTCAAACAGCATCAATTTGGACTAGACATATGAGACGTGTAAGTCAAGTGACGAAGCATGTGGCAATGCAGTCAAAAGCCACTGCAGTAAAGGAGGCGCGAGCTTCGGTAGCTCAGAATTCTACACCGACATCTATTGTAGACATAACTGTGTCATGTGATGGTAGCTGGCAAAAAAGAGGTTTCAGCAGCAAAAATGGTGTTGCAACTGTTCTGTCGGTGAATGGCAACAACAGCAAGGTTGTCGATACAGAGACGCTTACAAACTATTGTAATTCCTGTGCTATCAATAAAGCAAAGAAATCTGATGCGGATTTCAACTTGTGGCGTCAAAGTCATGATAATTGTGAGCGAAATCATGAAGGCTCAGCAGGAGCTATGGAGCCTGCTGGAATGTTAACAATTTTCCGTCGGTCCTTGCCAGAGCATTATACAGGATTTACCAGGTTCCTTGGTGATGGTGATAGTAAGTCATTCAAAGCTGTGTCTCAAGCAGACCCCCCTGTATACCCAGACAATCCTCCTAACATTTCAAAACTGGAAACCGATGCCAGTTTTTGAGGCCCTCTCTAACATGGATTTACTTCAAAAGTGCAGCCATGGAGGTACACAAAACACGAACGAGTCGTTTCATAATTTGATATGGGAGAGGTGCCCCAAGACTCAGTTCGTTGGAAGAACAAGGTTGGAAGCGTCGGTGCATGACGCAACAATTGTATTCAACTAAGGTGAAATGGGTCGCCTTCCAATATTTGAGAGATTGTCAATGACTCCAGGATATTGGACAATAAAAGCCCTTGCAAACATTGATGGAACAAGAATAGACCATGGCTATATATCTGGATGTAATGCAATTATTCGCCAGCGACGGAATCGACGCCATCAAAATAGACCTGGTCCCGAATACCTGGCGGATGGATATTAGTGTGTTAAATGTAAAAAAATTAACAATAACCTGATATTATTCCATTTTAACACTAAAAAAATGATCAAATTGGACTCTTAACACTTAAAGGCCAGTGTAGAACTAATTTTGAGATTATTTTTCTTTAAAATGCCGTTTTCTTGAAATCATGAATTTCGCCAAATTTCACTTCTGACACAATATTTCAAAAAGTAAAAGAGATATTAAGCTAAAATTTTCAGGAATGACTTATCGTTATATGTTGCATTCTGTGACACATTCTAAATGATTGTACTTAAAGTGGTTTTGATAAAAAAGCAGTAGTCTATGGTAGGGGGTCACCATCTGTTTAGACCTATGTGATTTAAAAAATCTTCCTCTAAAAAATTTGCTTTTAATTCATTTTTTGAAAGTGTCACAACTTGCAATAGGGTGTTACAAACATTCTCAGCAATTTTCATTGTGATAACTCCTGAAGAAAAGGCAAAGAGAAACAACATATCAAGAAAACAACATGTAAGAATTAAGAAAATGATAGTTGATGATAAAAGTACAGTTGTAAATATTACTCAGATTTTCTCTTAATCATAAAATTAGGGACCATCTTTCTTCTTAAGAATAAATACTTAATTCTGCAGCCATTTTTCAAAAATGCTAGGCCATGTAAAAAATATTTTGCAGACTGAATTCTTATGTTGCTAGTACAGTTTTTATTATGTATCCTACATAATATTTATCCAATCTAAGATTAAATCCAATCTAAGACTAAGATCAGTTGATTCAGTATAATTTTTTTCATTTCATGCTTTTGATTTTCAGACAAGAACCTGGAAATCCTCGGGGATTAAACACCTCACTGATGAAGAGAGGGAAATGTGGAGTCGCGTCACTAATGATCTGTTATCTGATGAGGAATTAGATGAAGATACCAAAACAATCACAAGTCGTGCACCAGGATGGCGTTCAAACAGACTGAACAATATAATAAGAAAACTGGATGAGAAAACCTCTATGTTGAGGGATCCAAAATATAAACGTTTAAGGGGACCATTCTCTGATAGGCCAAAACCAAGGGACACAGAAAGAAATGATGGTTTATTAAACCAGTGAAATGATCTGCCTCCAACTTTTGGAGTTGTTAGATAGTTTGCCTTTGGCCTCAGAGTCTGCTACAAATTGGTGATGACATTTTCTGTGTTGGTGCCTTGTCTCATTTACATGATTTATATGTAATGTTGCACCTGTTTTCCATTTTAGTAGCTATTTTTTTAACATGTCACAGTAAAACATCAAAATACAATAATCCAAACATCAGTTAAACACAAACAAAATTCCAAAATAATATATAACAGTTCTTAACTAGAAATTTGGATGTAGTTTTTCATATACATTTTGAAATATGGATGTAGTTTTTCATATAGATTCTGAAATATGGATGCAGTATTTCATGTAGATTCGGAAATATGGATGTAGATTTTCATATAATTTGAAGAATGGATGTGCAGTAGTTTTTCATATACATTTTGAAATATGGATGTAGTTGCTGCTTTCATACAAATTACTCTGTGACCATTTTTGCTTATTATGTAAAGTGTTTCAACAAAGTGTGTTTAATGATAAAACAACATTAAATAGGGCCTATATGTTAGCTTAATATTCTTAACTGTTATATGTTTGATCTACCTATTTTGGTATTTTCGAAAAAAATCCTGATTATTGTTCAACTGGATATTGACTAAATGATTGAAGTTTTTTAAAGAATATTTCCACCTTATAGACAATTGAATTCTGAGCAAACTGGCTAAGTTTTATTATGATTAAGCATTAATTGGTCAAGTTTCTATAAATGTTCAAAACATCAAAAATCAGTAAAAATCAGGGACTAAGCTTGAGGGAGGGGTTTAGTTCTTCATGATGATTATGTAATTACAGAGTGGCATGGCAAAAGGAATAAAACAAAATCCAAAGAAACAAAGTACGCAAAAAAGTGTAAGATCTAAGATGAAAGTAACTAACAAGATAAACAGTGTTAAACGTAAGAAACAAGATACCAGTAAGGACAGTACATTACCATATGGGGGGTCACCCGGGGGTTGGGTAGTAACCCCAAACCCAGCGGGAAGAAAATCCTCTTCCCAGGGTCAACCAGGAAGGGGCTCTTCGTGGACAGTGACACCAAATTCAGTTCATAATACACCTAGGTTTCAAGTAGCCTCCTCCCAGGGTCAACCAGGAGGGGCTACAGTCTGGGGTGACATGGGGTTAAATCCATATGGCTACCAACAACTGGGTCCAGTGACATACAATAGTAATAACATGTTTGGGATGCAGCCCTCATATCCTCCTCCATATCAGCATGGTATGCAGTACCCACAAGCATCATATATCCAACATCAAGCGCCAATACAGCAATCAACTCAGCCTATGTTTCAACACCAACCATACATGTCTCCCCCCGGGAACTTTGTTAATAACAATGAATACTTAGCATCGGAGCAGACAGGTAGCATGCGTCCTATGTTGGACTTCTCATCGTTAATGTCGCTAACCATCTCTTCCTCACTTAAGGAAAAAATTTGGAAACATGAGTTTGTGGAGCTAAATAAGTTGGTGGAGGAGGAGGATAGCGATGTTGAGGATGGGAATCCATCTAAGTACTTGTCTTTGGGTGTTAATGATAGCAAGCAGTTATATATAAAAAGTAAGAGTGCTGACAAAAATACCTTGCTTACCCCATTTGGCAGAAGGCCTTTCTTAGATTCATTTCTATTTACAGTGAGAAATTCCCTTTAGAGGCCAATCAGTTATCAGTATATATGTCAGTTATACACCAGATGAAAATAGAGAATATTAACTGGGGCAAATATGACCGCAAGTTCCGTAAAGCTAGAGCTAATAGACCATGCGTGTGGTCGTACATGAATTTGGCTCTTCAGAACGAATGCCTTAATCTTCCGTGGGGTAATACAATGTTCACAAGTTCATCCAAAAAGCATGATTTTGCAGGTAAACCTAAGCAAAAGAATGAAACATCTGCTTCTGCGAAAAGTGATGAAAATCAGGATAAAACTCGTATGCCCTTCCACTTCTGTTAAGCACATACAGATTTTGCAGGTTTAGTTTTACTGCTGAAGGTTGTTTATGCTATGCTGGCCTTGGCTAGTTGGGTCAAGTTAGTAGGTTAATGCTATGCTAGTGACATCATTTCTGGATTTCCCTAGCAATAAACATAGCATCAAAATGGCTGCTGCTAATAGAATAACACTAGAAATTTATGTTTTCCTTGATAAAAAAGTTTTAATTTAATTTTTATTTATGCATGTTTATCTGATACTAATACTAAATGGTGTTTTATAGATATTGACCAGGTTTAGATGAAGAAGGGTTAAGTACATGACTCCAAACTTACTTGACAACAAGATTAATGTATTTTCTGATTCTGGCCATCTCATCTAACTAAACCTTTAAACTCTCAAAACTAGCTAATGGGCCAAAAATAAGGAATATATATTGTAAATCTTAAGTGTCTTGCCAATAAAAGGATATAGTTTGTGAAATGTGTGCATCAACTGAATTTGATAAAAATCCCACAGAATGTCATTACCCCCTGTTAAAATTTAGTTTTAATGTGGTGCAATGTACACAAGTAACAGGATCTTCACAAGAACAGTGAAGCCTAGCCAAAACCAGGATCAGTTAAGTGGATACTTCTTGATAATTATGGATCATAAGGAGAGGCATTTGATTGCCCTTGATAATATTTGTCAACTTTGTGCTAAGAAATTATCAACAGGGAAACAAAAGCGATTCAGCTCATCTCACACAAAGTTTTAGTGCAAGAGATATAATCTTGAGGCAACTAGAAATTGATGTGGAACTTGACTCGTCAAGTATACATCCTGAATATATATGCCATAGATGTAGGAAACTCCTCAGGCCTGATAGACCAGTGAGTGAACATTATAGTTATGACGTAAAGTTAGTAAATAAGCAGTGGTGTTCTCCAGGTGACTTGAGTGAAGCTGAATGTTGGACTTGCCAACAACACCAATTGCAGTCTAGCTTTACAAATGCAAAAATACTATCTCCTGCAAAGTCTATTGTAAAACAAAAGTTAGAGCATCCTTCTAGAGCAAGTAATAATAGTGAAAACAATGACAGTGAGAGATCAATTCATAACATTCCACCAAATAACGACATTCCAAATCTTGACATTCCACCTGTACCCGATGCATACCTGACTATTGATGGGGATTCCGAGCTATTTCTTACTAGCACACCAGTAAAAAGGCCAAGATATGACAATGAACTATTAAAGGAAATATTACAGTGTGATACATCTAGTCTTTCAAATACATCCATGACATTGAGCAATGTCAGTACTGAAATGACACCCTTAAAGGGTGAGACTATCAGAGATCTTTTGGAAAAAACTGTTGATAATCCATTAACGCAACTTGAGAAAAAACTCATGTCTTCTCTCGTTAAGCGCTCTGTTTCTCAAAATAAAGATGGTCTACTTGTGTGCCCTACTGGAGGAAAGGTAATTATAAGATTTTAAAACACTTTTCACATATAACTTTCAGCCAATGGTGTATACTTGTGTTGTTAAGGCACAAAAACCTAGCTCGGATGCAAGATCTCCTTTGAAGAGGGAACGTTCAAGAAAACATCATGAGATTTTTAAAATTACCGCTGGAGGTGACAGTGATTCAATTGTAAAACAAAAAGTACGTGAAATCAAACATGGGGGAAAACAGTCAAAAGCAGTTATTTCTAAAGAAGCTGGATTAAATCTTAGTAATCTCACAAGTACAGATATGACATCATTAAAGACCAATGCAAGACTCACCTTGTCACAGATAAGAACAATAAAGCGTTATTTAAAGCCAATTGGAGTGTCGTATTCAGGAGAGAAAGAGGAACGCGAATTTCGAGATAAAATTCTTCAAGATGTCTTAAGTGCAAATAAAATACCTTTCGAACACAAAAAATCCCTATCGTCAAAAAGCATTAAAGGTGTAGAGTTGAAAAAGAAACCTTGGTTTTACATTGATAATCTTACAAACTATGTCATATCACGCTTGGACAATTTAGACAGAAATGGCCAACTTCAAACTCATGATAGCATACCAGAGAACGAGATATGGATAAAAATAGGTAAGTGATCTTTTAATAGATGATCTGTTTAATAATTGTTAGGATATTTGAGGTGTTATTAAGCCATTAGTGAGAATGATCCAACAATTGGAAGATCATCTGTCCAATGAAAGGTGATAATTGCTACGTAAACCAAAATACTTATCACTTGGAAAATATAGCCAATTTTAATAACCAAATCAACTTTATTGAAACAATACTGGTCACAATGGGATCGATTGAAGATGGTGAATGGTGTGGTTTACAGAAAGTGGATTCATGATGATGGTGTGGTTTACAGAAAGTGGATTCATGATGATGCTGAAGTTGTGAATTGGCAAATAGTTGTTCCTTTGAAATTTAGAGAGAAAATCATGTCTTCTTCACATGGTGCATTGGACAGTGGTCATTTTGGAGTGAACAAGTCAATTGGTTGCTTGAGAGCAAAATACTATTGGGTTGGTTTCAAAGCAGATCTCGCCCTTTGGGTGTCAGCTTGTCAATTGTGTCAAAGAAAAAATCCTCCAAATAGTAAACATATTACTCCTATGAAACAATATAATGATGGTGCACCTATGGAGAGGATTGCTATTGATATTTTGGGACCATTACCGGAAAGTTTGTTCGGTAACAAGTACATTGTATCTATTGAAGACTACTTTAGTAAGATCTTGCAATTAGTTCCAGTTCCAAATCAAGAAGCGAAGACTGTTGCAACCGCTCTGGTGTCAAATTTTTTCTGTTTATATGGTTCACCTATCCAAATCCATTCTTATCAAGGATCTCAGTTTGAATCCAAATTGTTTAAAGAGCTTTGTAGCATGTATGGCATTCATAAAACTAGAACAACTCCATATCACCCCCAATCAGATGGAATGGTTGAAAGATCCAATAGAACTGTTGAGGCAATGTTGTCAAAAATAGTTGCATCAGATCAGAGGAATTGGGTTGAGTGTTTGCCATTTGTTGTAGCTTCATACAATTCGGCAGTCCATGCTAGTACCGGTTTTACACCAGCTTTCTTGATGTTCGGTAGAGAAATTAGAACTACAACTGATTTGTTCTTGGGCTCACCGCCAGATGTTGAAAGTGGTCTGGTTGATATTGTCAAGATTTACAGTCTACTATGCTGAAAGTTCATGATGTAGCTAGGAAACATATTCAAATAGCAAGTGACAGGCAGAAACGTGGGTATGATATAAAATCAAACACAAAGCGGTATGAAGCAGGTTCTTTGGTCTGGGTACATGTTCCAGCAGTGAAGGTTGGTCAGAGTCCAAAGATGACATTGAAATGGCATGGTCCTTTTGAAATTGTGGATAGATTAGACGATTTGAGGTATCAGGTCAAAATAAAGGACAAGGATACTAGAATCATACATCATGATCGTATGTGTGTGTAATGATAGTTCCAATGATGAAATTGAGACTGTAAAGGGTGATGCCAATGATATTGATATTATGAAAAGTGATGCTATTGACAATGAGGTTGAGATTATTGAATCCAAAGGGAATGAGAGGCAAAGGGTTCGCAGAAAACCAGCCTGGATGGATGAATTTGAAGTATATTAAGTTTTAGCTTGATTGTGGATTATGAGGGTGTATTTTTGCAGATTTGTAAAAGTGAGTGCCTTCCTCCAGAAGGGAGGAAGGTAAACAGGCCTTGGATTTGTAGAAAACGATTTACCTCTCAAGACAACCTTTGGAGACATATTGAGTACGCACACAGGATGACATTACAGAGCGAATATGTAAACTGCTCCTTTAAGTGCCCGGAGACTGATCGCGCCAAACTAATACTACACCAACGAGAGCATCCCAATCCACGTGCGGAACCAAGGGTGTTCCCCTACCCGAAAAGACCTAGAGGCCCTAGGGTAAACTTTCTGCGTTCTACTTCTGGTCGTTCTGGGAAACAGAAAGCGAATGGCACAGAGGCTGGCGAACCAGCATGCGATGGCCAACAGGACCTCCCAGTCCCTCAACAGAAGGAAAGGATATCGGAGAAAGGTTCCGACACAGAAACAGCATCCACCATTTCGGCGGCAGACACTGAACCTTATGGGACAGATTCGATAAACATTACAGACAGTGAAGAAGCTGCAAATGAGAAGGTGATTAATTTCATGGTGGAAAGTAACACAACCGAAGAGTTGGAAAAGAGATTGTTGGATATGCCAGAGATGTTGGACATTGATTTCAGTCAATTATAGGACAGCAAAAAGGGAGTTTTAGTACTTTATAACATTGGCATATTTTCATACTGTGTATTAATATACAGATAAGATAATATACCTCGTATAAACTACGTTTATCAAAGTTTGTTGGTTTGTATTTGTATTGTATCACTATATTATGTATTGTATGCTAAGTATTGTATTGTATTTTCTACGATTGTATTGTAGTACCAGATTTTATTGTATTGTATCTTTTAAATTAGTATTGTATAATGGATGTATTGTATTGTATTGTATTCTTTAGACTATGTATTGTATGGGATTGAATTATTTATAATCTTATTCTCATTATTAGTATTTTGAGGGCAAAATATTTTCTTGGAGGGGGGCAGTTGTAACATACCGTCATCTCAGATAACCCGGGAGTCAAATCAAAATAACCATATTTTCACTAACCTTCCATTACACCAAATATTATGCTTCTACAAATACCTTTGAGTCATCGATTGTTGATAAACATTAACAATGTTGGTAAACAGAGAGGAGAAAGATGCAAACGTTTCCTATTAGTAGACGAATCTTCTAAATTTGGAATATGATGTTTGGGGAATCCCCGTAAGAAATTCCCTATTTAAAGCGAGGCTGTTTTGAGAAAGCCGTAGTTGATTTCCAAAGCCATCGAGATCTTGAACAAGATAACATTCAGCAAAAGTAGATCAGTAGATTATGTGGGTGAGTAAGATTTGAGCTTCATTCATGTTCTAAATAGGTATGATAGATTGAATACTAGATCTAGAAGGAATCTTAAAGAGATTAAAGCTAGATTACTGAATGAATTGGACTGATAGAGGAGTTTGAAACTTCCGGAAAAACCTTTGACATTTTTTGATTGTTTTGATGACATTGTATCGACATTGTCGTATCAATTGTTTTGGTTTTAGAAGTCTATGACTTGCAAATATATTTTCACACGAAATATAAAGGCCCCGTAGTGGGATGAATGATTATATCAAGTTTGAGTAACGAATCAAATATTTTAGCGCCATTTATAAAAGCAGACGGCTTTTGTTGATGTCACGACTTAATGTTTACCAACGCATCCGTTTATTAATTTACCAATATTCTTACTATATCGAATCATTAGAAATATCATAGTACAATTTAAAGGGAGGTTAAATATTAAGACAATTTCTCAACATATTTTTACACATTCTTTTCCAGATCAGTCAGAAGCAATTTGGGGTCAAAGGTTGAATTCTTTGGCGTCTGAAAGTCTGAACTTTGTGGAAGACAATTTATCAACACGGTTTATCTGTTTATTCATATGTTTTCTGGTTTATCTACTTCAAGGCCAAATAACAAATAATTCATATCTTAGATTCATCAAACAGAACTCTTTTTAGGTCGCATTTCACATGACATAATTTATGTTGTGATTCTGAATGTTTAACTTACAAGTTACATGAATAACAGATTTAGATAATTTTGAATTATTACAAATCTGATCTAAACATTTCCCTACATTTCTATTCATACATGTAGTATTGTATATTGACATACATATATTTAATTATCACTTTTAATCTTTATATTAATTTGCTATATTTATAAATCATATTGCATGACATTATTTAATCACCAGATTTGTTATAATAAAATCATTAGATCTAATCTTAATCATATTAATTGTATTAATGTGTGGTTTTGTGTGAACCTTCGCCTGCATCCTCTCCTAAAATTTACCTATTGTACTGTGGGAGTGGGTTAGCTTGCACTTTCCTTATTATCCCATCAAATTGATTATTTTTGTGTTTGCTTGATGATTAACGCAAACAATAAAAGACTAGTCATTGCCACAGGCTGGTATAGAAATATTTTTCCGCTGTGACGGAGCATGCTATTTTTCATAAAAACACTAAGAATGCTTCACAATTTATTTTTTAACTCAAATGTTTCGTTTTATCAAAGATAATTACTTACTCCATGCAATGGATATATCATTTGCGTGTAATCTTCACTTCTGTTTGAAGTCCAATAACGCTAGGAGTAAAATCTATTGAAAACGGCCCCAGAGTATCAAACTCTAAAATGTACCATTTCTTTTTTAACTTTTTAATGGCATGATATAGTGACACGATAATATTAACATATGTTTTCAGCATAACTCTGAATGTATTAATGAGATATTAATGCGTTGGGTCTTTTTAATGTTTTTATAAAAAATAATATTAATATTTTTTGTCCGCTGTGACGGAGCATTTTCACAGATCACATTTGCAACTGCTCCGTCACAGCGGACAATGAAATTAAACATTATTTTTTATAAAAGAATTAAAAAGACCAAATACATCAACATCTCATTTATACCTTCATAGTTATGCTGAAACCATGTGTAAATATTATCGTGTCACTATATCGTGCCATTAGAAAGTTAAACAAGAAATGGTACATTTTGAAGTATGATACTCCGGCGCCGTTTTCAATAGCTTTTCTTCCCAGCATAATTGGACTTCAAACAGAAGTGAAAGTTACCCGCAAATGATATATCCATTGCATGGAGTAAGTAATTTTGTATGGTATAACGAAACATATGAGTTAAAAAATAAATCGTGAAGTATTCTTAGTGTTTTTATGAAAAAAAGCATGCTCCGTCACAGTGGACAAATATTTCGATACCAGCCTGTGATTGCATCACTTTTTACCACGCTTACCACATTAGTATAAGTTGTGTATGCTATTTCGACTAGTATTTTATACAAGCATCAACTAAGCCCAGTAGTGGCATAATTGGCCCCCGTAACCATATGGATAGTAGCTTAACAAGTTTCACTCCACTGTCACCATGTCAACAATACTACTTAGTTGATGGCGATATACAATAGTGTGAAGGTCATCCTGGGTAGTAAGTATATTGTCCACTTGTACTGACTGGGCTAGGTAAGATATGAATGAGCGACTCCTTAAGCCACATGTTTAGGAATAGTTTTATTAAATAGGATTTGAACGAATTAAGGGATAAACATAAATGAATTTTATGTAAGCATGGAATAAAATGTTTTATGTGGCATTAATGAGTCCTGTTCACTTACCAAGCGGTGTGGTTAATGTGTAGAAGTCATTGACAGTCTTAGTTATAGATATGAAGAGTTTGATCTGCTAATGTTTGTAGTTTTAGTGTCTTTCAGGAAGCGGAACTGGTAATCTTGGTAAGTAGGTCGGCGAGTTGAGCAGTAGAAGTGCTGTCTCCATGCTGCGCAAGTTTTAGCTTTATTCCTGAGCTGAATTTATGTGAGTATACTTTCATTTATTCTGGGTCTTTTGCGTTTTGGCCTTCCCTTTACCCACCCTCTTTTTAGGTTTAGAGTATGGATAGTATGGATAGTAGCTTAACAAGTTTCACTCCGCTGTCACCATGTCAACAATACTACTTAGTTGATGGCGATATACAGTAGTGTGAAGGTCATCCTGGGTAGTAAGTATATTGTCCACTTGTAATCGCTGGGCTAGGTAAGATATGAATGAGCGACTCCTTAAGCCACATGTTTAGGAATAGTTTTATTAAATAGGATTTGAACGAATTAAGGGATAAACATAAATCAATTTATACAACTATAGTATAGATCTAGTAGATCTATATGTTTCATTTAGTTATTCCTTAAATCAGAACTGCAAAAATGGCAAGTACGAAGTAAAACTGCAAAAACCCCAATAAAAAAATATTTTAATTATTGACCTACCCTAAAAAAAATTGGGTAAAATTTTAATGATAAACGCCACAACATACGAAGTTGATGGTAAAGACATGAACTTATGAATATGTGGTGCTGAGCACCACAACTAAGCAGTAAATACCTAACTTCGTATGAACTGGGCCATCAATCCGCAATAACTGGGTATTTTTCACAAGAACCTTGAAGTTCCTTTCTGATTGCATATTTAGCTTTTGTAAAAATAGAATGAGTAGGAGCGACTCCTTAAGCCACATAATAGAAGTTAAAGAACACCTTTCTGGGTAAACATAAATTAATTCTATGCACAATAGAATATTTTATGTGGCTTGAAAGGGGGTCGTTCTACTCACCAGCTAATCAGGAATGTGTACAAACCCTTGAAAAATAGAATGAGTAGGAGCGACTCCTTAAGCCACATAATAGAAGTTAAAGAACACCTTTCTGGGTAAACATAAATTAATTCTATGCACAATAGAATATTTATGTGGCTTGAAAGGGGGTCGTTCTACTCACCAGCTAATCAGGAATGTGTACAAACCCTTGAAAAATAGAATGAGTAGGAGCGACTCCTTAAGCCACATAATAGAAGTTAAAGAACACCTTTCTGGGTAAACATAAATTAATTCTATGCACAATAGAATATTTATGTGGCTTGAAAGGGGGTCGTTCTACTCACCAGCTAATCAGGAAAATGTACAAATCCTTGACGTAGCGTAAAACCTGTTAGATTTGGGTTGTAGAATTTTTTCCAGGAAAACTTTAAGGGGCGTGTCATGACCTACGATCCCGGGACTTCCTCTTCCGGGCTGATCTGACCTAGCTAGCCACGAGTAATTCTTTGCACAGCAAAATAAGTTCTACGGAGAATAGTAAGAGGTTTTGAACAATCTCTTAGAGGTAAGAAGTTAGCTAGTTTTAGCTGTTTACAGCATGAAATTATCCCACCTCCACCCCCACTTTTCACCACCGTGTTCTTAGTAGTATATACATTAATACATAAGTATATGGTGTTGGGGGTGTAAATTGCCTTCCACAAAATAGTACTGGCGTTTCACTAAATAGATGGATTTGGGCTCTCTTACAGAATAGGCATTCAGATGGGAACGGATAGAATTTAGAGATGATGACTCATCATATAGACTAGGTACTAAGAATGGGTAAAGCTGGGTAGTCAGAGGATTTCAGAATTAGGTTGAGTCACCACAACATGAAGTTTAGAGTAAATACCCATGTTCATATGAATAGGTGGTGCAAAGCGCCACAACATACGAAGTTGATGGTAAAGACATGATCTCATGAATATGTGGTGCTGAGCACCACAACCAAGCAGTTAAGCGTAAATACCTAACTTCGTATGAACTGGGCCATCAATCCGCAATAACTGGGTATTTTTCACAAGAACCTTGAAGTTCCTTTCTGATTGCATATTTAGCTTTTGTAAAAATAGAATGAGTAGCAGCGACACCTTAAGCCACATAATAGAAGTTAAAGAACACCTTTCTGGGTAAACATAAAATAATCCTCCTACCTAGAGTCCATTTCACTGCTTCAGTTCGTCAGTAGAACGGCAAAAATAAGAAATTGGGAGACCATTGTGCAATAATATATGGAAAAGTATATTCATAATATACATGAATGACATTTGTATATCTTGGATTGCTTCTAGTTTGGCTTATAAAGTGTGTGGCC